TAGGAGCAAACGACTGGCAGTCATTAGACCAATTGGCAAAGAACTCCACGATCCAGGTGACCCTCCTGTCCCGCTCCAGCTCTTCCTGCCACACACAGGGAAGAAACAGTGAGCTGGACCACACGGGCTCCCGGGTCTGATTCCTCCCCCTGGCTTTCCCTCTCCCCCCACCGCTCCCTAGCTCTGGTAATGAACCGCAGGGCCCTTCACTTCCATTCTGAAGCACCGTTACTCCTCCTAGCGAGGAAAAAGCACAGATACAAGGTCACCCACGAGGGACCCAAGAAACAGGAAAGAGCACTCACATCAATGGTTTTGTCATTGAAGTACTTGATGTACTCAGGGCCCATATACAGGGGGGGCTTGCACGTCATCAGGAACACTAACCAGAAAAAAGATGTCAGAGGAAACATATAAGACCTTCAGCAGGGGATTTACTTGCAAACCGACTCGAAGATTTCAGGCACCAAAGAATACACTTTGTGGACACACACAGACCACGGACACGTTTCTCTCTTCCTAAAGTTTCTGTAGATTCTTCTCACCTGAGCCACACACGTAGTTCATGAGGTACAACATACAGAAGAAGGGTATGGAGAAGCCTGTTTGGGGTCGGAACTCGGGTCCCACAACCAATCTCCTTACCTATGCAAAGTGTGATGTAAAGCAGGCCCATGCGAATATCCAGACGGAAGAAAAGAATTGCATTGGCCACTTTACTGAACATGAAGATGTTGCCTATATGTTGCTCCACAGTGACTGAAACACAAAGATGTCACAGGTCAGGCTGGGCTGCATACTCCTATATCCCGTTTGTCTCTCTTCCTGTGGTACTTTGGATCGGGAGAGGGGGGAGAGGATAAAAGTTCAAGATCAAATTCAGCCTTGGCGCGGAATGTGGGACTCCTTCACCAAATCATGCCCCTCGCATAATAAGAATGAAAGCACGGCCAGAGGGCATTAGTCCCAACCTCGAGAAGCTGAGGTGCAGGCTACACTTACTAGATCTGCGGTTTTTCATCATCACAATGGCACTGAGGAACATCAGGATCTCTACTTCTCTCTGGAAGAGAACCAAAGTGACAGGAAATGCCATAAACAGAGATGATGTGGGTGGGGAAGGGAGCCAAAAAGGGAAGAAAACCCAGCAGAGCTCCACTCTGGGAATGGTGTCAGCAAAGACAGAAAAGAACCGGAGGGGCGCCTGGGAGGCTCAGTTGGCTGAGCATCAGTTGGTTCAGATTCTTGATTTCAGCTCAGGTCACGATGTCACGGTTCGTGGGTTCAAGCCCCGCCTTAGGCGTCTCTGCTCCAAGCAGTGGTCCTGCTTGGGATTCTCTCTCTCAGCCTCTCCCCACCGCTCAAAATAAATAAATAAACATTAAGGAAAAGGGGAAAAAAAGGAAATAATTGCAGTCAGCTAAGATGTAGTGGGAAAACCACCAGTCAGGGTCCACCCCTGCCGCAAACTGGCTGGTGTCTTTCAGCAGATCACTTAACCTCTGAGCTTTGGTTTCCTTGATGGAACTGTATCTATTTGCTCCAATATCTAGTAATATCTATTACTGTGAGGATTAAATGAGATAATGGGTATGAAAGAGTTGCATAAAGCCCGGTACCATATAAAACTGTAAGACAGGGGCGCCTGGGTGGCTCAGTCAGTTAGGTATCCAACTTTGGCTCAGGTCATGATC